CACCGCTTTGCAGGCGCGGTAGCAAATGCATGATGTCCTGAAGAAGCACCTGGCTTACACCCCTCTTGAACAGCCACTGGTCTAAAACTTGGAGAGAGAGCATCTGCCTTGAGATGCGAAGCTTCTGACTTCACATCAAGTAGGGTGTCTTTGAAAAGCAGAAGTAACCATTTGTTGGCATCACGCTGCTGGATTTGATAGCAGGCACCACTAGAAGCTTCAAAAAAATCATCAGCTACTCCTGCAAGCTGGACGCTCTGCGCAACGCCGAGACAAGCGCAAAAGAGGACGAAGATCTTCACGCGCATCGACACGCAGGATCAAACACTCACACGTTCTGACGCAGCTACTGCAGCAAACGCTCTTCTTGGCATTGATTGGTCGGACATGCCGAAATCAACGGCAGCAGTCCCTCACCCCAGGGTGGGCGGGCGGGAAGCATCAGCTGGCCAGGCCCACAAAGGGGCACAACAGAAACAACACACACACACCCAGAATCAGTGGCCTGCACGAACGCTACCTTACATTCATATATAGTACATCAACGAAAAGCTGCATGTACATGTGAGAGTCGGGTGTACTGCCAAACCCAGCCCAGGCCGGCACACCCGTCACCAAACGCTGGCTCCTGACGTGTCCCTCGCACACAGCACTCATGAACAACAAGCCAATCCATGTCAACCTGCAAGCAAACTGTACTGCTCCAGCGCAGAAACACACCTCACACGTTCTTACGCAGCAACTGCAAAGCAGCAAACGCCTTGTTCAAATTGGTCGGACATGAACAAGCAGCAATCCCTCACCCTCAGGGATTGCAACAGCTTAAGTGAGATGAGGTTCAGGCGGTGCGGGCCAGAGCCACAAAGACTGTAGAGGGTGGAACGAAGCTGACTCATGGTCAGCGACTCGAATGGGAAGCAACACGGTAAGTGCAGCACGCGGCATAACATGTCTCTAGCTTTCTGTACATCCAACATTTAGCCAACAGCCCACGTCTCTATGTTTTCTACTACATGCAAGAAAACCCACCCGCCAGCCCTCACTGCCGTGACACAGCACGCAGACAACTCGCGGGAAGTATTTAGCTACGCAACAGAACCCTGCCAAAGGGACCCTAGCCTAGCAGCAAGGAGGACGCGAGTGCACAAGCGGCGCACGGGACTTTCTCTTTTCACCCTGAGATGGAGGAGTCACGAGTCTCAAGCAATCTCAACAGCCACAAGTGAGACTCTTGACCGGCCCTGTCAAGAAGAGATCCCTCCTCAAAGCAGGCCAGGGCCGAATCGAAAATCCCCACCCCCCACATTTTGCAGGGTCGTGGTGGGCGGGAAAAGCAAAATGCTCACACAGGGCTCAGCTAACACACGAGGTGAACCCTCCTGCCACTACAAGCCCTGTAGGAAGAGCCACAAGCTTGCAGCACTGCACGGCAAGCTTGACCTTTCACCTTGCGCCTGCGCAACGCAACAACGCGCAACAGCGCAAACCGCGCAAGACAAACCTTGTTGCAACGCACATACTTCCCACTTAGATACATGCACGCATGCACCTTGCTCTCTGATTTTTTCTACAGGGGGGCGGGCGGGCGAACAAAGCTGCCCACAGCGTGTATCGAGTCACCCGGGCGTGGCTTTCAAGTGTGCTGCAAGTTTTGTGTTCGCAAACATCCCAGGT